AACATGTTTGATGTTAACAGTTAGCTGAACCCCAGCACTCTCGTTAACAATGATTAACATTCTTTACAAAATACAGTCAATTCACTTTGCAATATATTCTGTGAAGCGCTTCAAGATGTCGCAATGACGTGACAAGGCACTACATCAAATGCAAGGATTATTATTATAATTTATACAACACCCTTCATGTTGCCCTTCACATCGGAGAGCATCATAATGACAGTAGAAGGAGGTGGTGACCGTAAGTGTGGTCGAAGAGGTAAATTCTAAAGTGGGATTTAAAGACATATAGAGAGAGGGGTAAGAATGAGACGATAGAGTGAGGGAGATCTGATCAATTCGCCACAATTGTTCGGCTTAGTTATGTGTGTGCATGTGCTCCCTTTATATCCGAGAGCGATCTTACAAAACAATCCTTTCTTCCCATTCCTTTGGCTTCAGCACCAAACAGAATAGCTCTGAATCCCTGAAGCTCTGAATGTGAGTCAGACAGAAAAGACACACTGAGCCCTCCCGCAGCGTGGCTGATATTTTACTGGGAAGGTTGGCTGCCATATGGCAATTTGACCTTGGAGATTGTTGACACAAAGATTTTCAATGTATCAGCTATCGTTGTGTTGAAGCCAGCTTTCACTAAAATAGGCCTTCATTCCTGTGGATTTAAAATAACAGCAATATGTTTCATGATTAATTTCCAATAATGACAGGTTTCGACACACAGACACTAATAATAGCTTTTCTAGAAGCCTTGCTAATCTACACTTTATGACTTGTTCTTCACTAAATGTTTTTATTTGCATTGGTTGAGGCTGCTACTTTGTGCTAGGTGGGTATAAATGTGAACATTAATCGCTGCTCGCTTCTCACTGTCATAAGAATATAATAAAACAAGGGATGAATAAAATCCAGCCTGCCTCTGAGTCAGAAGGTGGTGAAGTCCAATGTTGGGACTTTGATTACACATAGTCTAGGCTGACGCTCTAATGCACTGCATTGTTGGAGGTGTCGTCCTTCGGATGAGATGTTGAACCGAGCTCCCGTCTGTGCTTGTTCAAGTAGACGTTAAAGATCCCATGGCACTATGTGAAAAGAGAAGAGAGTTTCTCGCTGTGTCCTGAACAATAATTCCCCAGATAAAAACAATTGGGCATTCACTTCATGGCTGTTTGTGGGACATTGCTGTGTGCAGAATTGGTTGCTGTGCTCTTCTACAAATACACTACACACAACGTGAAACCCTGTGAATACGCTTTGAGACATGTTAAGGTGCCTTGGAGACGGCCCATGTATATCAAAAGCATTGATTATTAATATTATTATTAATATCAAATTCCCAAATCACAAGTTTGCACTTTGCCACCTGAGCGAGATCTTTCACGTCCAACTGATCAGGCAGACAGGACCACGGTTTAACATCTCATTCAAAGGATGGGACCTCTGACAATGCAGCACACCCTCAGTTCTGCATTGGTGTGTCAGCCTAACCTGTGAGTTCTAAGCCCCAACATGGGGCATTACCACACAACTTTTGACTTGAGGCAAAAGTGCAACCAAGCAGCAGGGGTTTATGTTAGCAATAATATGCTGTTGAGGACTGACAATGTGCTTCTTGTACAACAGCAGCGAATGCAATGGGTTCAAACAGCTGTGTTTCTACAACAAATACCTTTACCCACAATGTGAGGGTCAAAGATCTGGGATCAGTTCAGTTAAGAGCGCCAAGTTAAATATGAGTTTTGGCTTGACCGGCTTTCCTTATTTTCTTGTTGTTACAATATATCTGGTGAATCAGACACCAGGAAATAATGACTTCAGGAAAATGACTGCTGGAAAGGGGGTCCCAAACCATGTGGTCTCATACTTTGTACTTTAGTCATTAAATAGGTCAGGATATCATCTGCAGCATTGAATCCATGGCTTCAGGATGTAGTATTTATTTTAAATTTACAGCACAGAAGGCGATTTTTTCCCATGTTACTCATTCGGAAAGAACAAAGGGGTGATAGCTGACTTCATGTGGAGTCCTGTAGCTCAGTGGTTAGAGTACTTGCATCGCAAGCGAGATTCCTGGCAGGGTGAAATGTTGGGCAAGTTTCCTTACTCCACACTCCTCTGTTTACCTAGCAGTAGGTAGGATCCAGTTGTTAGTCGATTGGCGGATCGCTTTTCCCGGGATAATAACTCCTTAAAAAATAATAAAAATAATAATAAATTGGTCACTTCAATCCATGCCTGTTTGTGTCGAGTGCTTTGAGATGTCTCCTGACGTGAATGGCATCAATGTAATTGTTGTTATATTGAATCCCTCGTATCAGTTTATTGCAAATTACAGCAAAAAGTGGATAAAGAAAGAGTAGAAACTTGTAGAAAAAATAAAATAGTTAATTAAAAAGAAAAACTTCCAGGTTCCTTGCAACTAAAATCACTAGCTAGTTCCAAACCTGCTTTCATTAGCGAGGTTTTATTACATAATCTTAAGTAAATTACGACAACAAATTACATTTGTATAGCTCTTTTCATGTCAGGAGGACGTCCCAAGGCGCTGGACAGTCAGGGATTTGGGTCCGAGCTGGGGTTTGGGATCAGGAGGGCTGGAGGTCAGGGTGGTGGGTGGGGGGGGTAGAGGTAGGAGGGTGACCGGAGGTATGCTTGAAGAGGAAGATCTTGAGACGGGCCTTGAAGGAGGCAAGGGAGGGGATTAGGGATCTTATTGTGTTTCCAGCTTTCTCGACTGCCTTGTTATCTGAAAGAATTGTAACGCAGCTCTCTCTGACAGGTGCTGTTGTTTGTAGCATTGTCACTGGTGAAATATGTCCTGGACTGAGTGCAATGATCTATTTGTAGACTGGACTGTGGAGCTGCCTGCACTTCAGAAATCGCAGCCCCTTAAGGACTAAAGTGACACTTTAGCAATGCTGCAATGTTAGCTTCACAGCAGTTATAGTTCTGATAGAAATTGAAAACCCCAAATAAGTATTTACTCCAGATTATCGAAACGTTTTAACTGCTCGCTCCTGTCAATTGGATCCATTTTGTATGCCCAAGTTTACACTCTGAAACAGTTGAACCTCACGATAACAAACCCTACTTACAGTAAATAATAATCATCCGTGTATTTAATATAGCTCTTATCACGTCTTCGAAACGTCTCAAAGCGCTTCATAGACCCCGATTGTAATGATCCCAATAGCAAATCCTAATTTTTGCACCTGTTTGATACCCAAACTCTCCTATAGTGAATACCCTGATATAACAATCTTTCCTCCCGGTCCCGATGGGATATAGTGATATTCATATAGTGAGGTTTCACTGTAGTAATAGTAACCCTTGAGTTTGATATTGGGAGGATGTCTTAAAGCGCTTCACATGATTTATCGCAAAGTGTAGTGACTGTGTGAATCATAGGGCTCTTCCTAGCCCAAGTTAGCGCTGTCAAAGTTACAGAACTGTATCAAACTTTCAATAGTTTAGAAAACCTTGTCTTAAACTCATCTTTAGACTTAACTTTTTAACTGGCTTTGGGCCACGTTCCCCCCACCCACCCCCCCACCACCACCACCACCTCTCCCCAGCCCCCCCTCCCCTGGTCTCCTAGCTCAGGTTCCCAATAGGCTGTGTGATGTGTCTTGAGGCATTTGTTTTGTGGCATTGCCCTTTAAATTGCACAAGTGAAAAGGCGAGACGATAGTTTATTCTGGATTTGCGTCGGGAGAACAACATATTTGGGCAATGCATAACAAGCTGTCATGTAAAACCTTCAGCAATAAATTAGTGTGTATCCAGGGTCCATCTGCCTCAGTCATAGTTGCAAGATCACTTGGTGGGTTATTTATTTCCTCCAGATCTTTTATGTCTTGTTGACACACGCCATTCTCTGACAGACAAGAGACCTCCCAGGACTCAGTTCCCGGAACAGTGCTAACAGCTGTTAGAGTAAACCCAGCAGTGTCTGAGCAAGTTGTCTTCAGGTCACCCTCCCTCTCAGATCAGCACACAAAAAAAGTTAACGATTGCCAGGGTATTTTTTTCAGCAGTCAAAAATAGGATAAATAGGTAATAAAATCGGGTTTGTTACTGAAGCAATTGAAAGGGTTGCCACCGCCAGCCATGAAGCTTTCCTTCACTGCTAAACTACAATGAAACTTGTCGCTCTGTCACTTGGAATGGCTCAGTTAGAGAGTTGATGGGTTAAAGTGACAATAATGATCTTAAGTGCCTTCTGTGGAGTCACTCACTCCCTGAGAAAGCAGAACTGAGAAACTATTAGATGGTAAGATAGCACCTAAGACTTTAGAACTACAGCCTTCCATGTGTCAAATGCCTCCTTCAAGGCATGTCTCAAGATCATGCCTTTGGCCACCCTCCCTTACCCCAATCTCCCCACCCCACCCCGGTTCGGGTCCAAATCCCTGACTGTCCAGCACCTTGGGACGTCCTCCTGATGTGAATGGCGCTATACAAACGTAATTTTGCATTGTATTGTATCATTGGCACTTCCAATGAGAGTTTATTCCCCAACACCTTTTGTGCTGATACCTTGAGTGAATCTAACCTTCATGATTCATAGCAATTCTAAGGTAAAGAGAAAGAGGGGGTGATGTGTAGTTCTGTTTGAGTTGAATGGGTTTGATGAATGTGATTGGAACAGTTGGGTGTTTCTGACTGAGAGCCATTTGATATACATGAATAAAGATCTGCCTAATAATAATAATACTAATCCTTGCATTAAACTGTTAGCTTTACCACCACTAGCACTAAAGTAGATGGGTTGATCAGTTGAATACCCTGTTAGGTTATTTGATTTGCATAGTTATGTAGTCTACAATGCTGAATCTGACTTGAGCGCTTATCCAGATATAGAGTGGTGTCACCAGTGATCACAATTCTTATATAAACAGGGGAATTACTTGTGTTCCTGTCAACAGAGTCAACCCCTGAGCAACAAAAGAGTGCCCGATCGACGTCTAAAATGGGGGTGATTGATGTTTCTCGACAGGCAGCCTTGGCTGGTCAACTGAATGGAACATTTCACATTTTGTATGCGGGATGACAAGCAGGCTGAATGAGGGAGAGGGAGCTGCTATTTTTATTGACCAGTTGAGTGCAGCCCTCCAACCTGACAAGGATTAAATACACTTAGCTCTTTCCATTCTTCCCGAGTCTCCCTTTTGTCATCCACTCGTGTGCTTCATCTACAGTCAGTGGGAAGGTAAGGAGTGATGCAACTTGGAAAAAAGTAATGACATGAATTGGGCCGGGGGGGGGGAGTGTTGAAGTTTAACATTGTTGAACAAGGAAATCCAGTTCACATTTCAGCTCTCTTTAAGTTCCAGCAGACTTTTGTTTGAACAAACTGGGCTGCTTAACATCCGTGGACTTGAATGGTGGTAAAGTATTTTAAAAGCAATGAATTTGTTCCTTAAACGTGAACATCAATTGCTGTCCTTAACAGCCTTAAATGCTAATGTAGAGGGAGTTAGTTCAGGAGAGAATTGTGCTTTGTACAGCCTTGAGATTGAAGATTGGTCACAGCACTACTTGATGCATAAGCTTATGACAGAAGGAAAATTTTCCCTTTTAAAGAGGGCAAGTGAGAATGAGCTGGTTGTCAGTTGAAAGCCAGTCATTTCAATCTTGCTTGAGTGGATTCAATACTTTAGCCAGCTTTGCGCTACAGGGATATATACGTTTGGAACACTCTTCACTTCAAAAGTTTCTCTTATTTTATGATTTAGCACAAATGAGTTAGGATTAAAGAAAGATTTGATGTCCGACCTACCAAAAGCAGCTCACTGAACTCAGTGGCTAAAGACCCATATGATTTAATAGCTGCAGTCTGAATTGTCAAAACAGAACATAAATAACAATGCTGCTTCTATCGGTTATCCTGCTTTACATTCCTCTCCTAATCCAAATTTACCACAAACTCTAATTAATTGGCGTTTTATCTCATTGCTGTTTGTGAGATATTGGGGTGTACTGAATAACCGCTGTGTTTGCCTGTAAATGTTCAGTCACTGCACTTTACAGAAGTACTCTGTGAGGTGATTTGAGACAGTTTCATGTGATAAGGGAGTTTATTAACTGCAAGTTTATTTTATTATATATATATTTATATATTTGGCATTATATATTGGCTTTATATAATATGCCAATGCTCAATTCTATTCCGTACCAATTATATTTTGGAAAGCGCTTTGAGACTTCTATTTTACAGGAAAGGTGCAAAGTTTTATTGTTGTTATTGAGTATATTAGGCTTTCAAAAGAGAATCAGATAAATATCCGAAAAGGAATGAACTACAGGGGAATGGGGAAAGAACAGATAAACGGAGTTGAAAAGATTGATCTTAAAGAGCAAGCACTGGCGTGATCGGCTCAATGGCCTTCAGGACTGTGCACGTCTAGGGCTCCAGGAAATTTGAAACGGTGAAGAAGGAACGCTAACTAATAAAAACATTAGCAATAAGAGGAGAATGTTGTCCGGCACAGGCTTACACACACAGTGTGTGTAACACGAGTCTGGAGACTTGCGAAAGAATATTGTCCTTCAAATTCCATTCAGACAACACTGACACCAGTTGCATTAAACGTTTACTGTACATATAGAATAGGTCAGACCATTGTGAACTACTGCACATACTGAAAGAGATCACATTGCATTTTAAGATCCTCCTCCATCAACTGGTGCCACTTGTTTATAGAACGCAGGCAGTGTCCTTTAATCTTACACTCAGCTGAAACCTTGAATTCTCCAATGGCAACTGTGAAGGCATCTGCCTTCTCTCTTCAAAGCTGAGTTGTTGAACCATCAATTAAGGTGTCTGTTGGTAGCACTCTCTCTCGCCTCAGAAGGTTGTGGGTTCAAGTTCCACGGCGGGACTTTGCACTCACGGTCTAGGCTGACACTCCAATGCAGTGCACTGGTGGGGGGAGGGGGGGCATTGCTAGACGTGCAGACCTTCAGATGAGACGTTAATCCGAATTCCCATCTGCCTGTTCAGGTGAATCTTAAAGATCCCATGGCACTGTGCTGGGTTGGGGGGATGCTGTGCTGGGTGGGGCGGAGGGTCTGTGTTGGTCTCGAAAAGAGAATGGGAGTTTCTCCCGGTGTTATGGCCAACAATACTCTGGATAAAACTGATCATTCACCTTTTGATGGGACATTGTTGTGCGCAAATTGGGTGCCGTGTTCATCTACAAGATACACAGTCACTTCCCTTTACAATAAAATCCTACAAAGCATTTTTAGATGTCTCAATGGCATGGTACTGTCCTGTATCAAATGGGATGAAGCATTAACCCTTCACAGTTTCCCTGTGTTTCAGTTGTTTCTCATTATCGGGCCACGCTTTCAGACGTCTCAAAGACATGATAAGGCGCTATATCAAATGCAAGGATTATCATTACTATTTTTATGCTCTGCAAGTAGTTATGTGATCCCATCCGACTTGTGATTTTCTATCTTAACCACTTCTGTTGTTTTTTAATAAACTCCACAAAGAACATCGTTAACTACTTTATTCAAATACTATCATCGAAATAAAAAGCACAGTCACGAAAGTCACCAAAAGAGATGGTCCTTACTGGATTGAGTTAAAGTTAAACCTCAGCAAGGAAATGCTATATTTAATGGGAATTCTTGAGTCATATCTCCCTGTTAGCTGGCAGGCTTTTTGGTCAACAGTCAAAAGAGTTTTAAAGGTCTTCCAGATAAAATAAAGCATTCGTCCTGATATGAACCTCTTCACAGCTTACAATTCGTTTGAGTCATTTACTAAATTCCTCATTCTATATAAAGCCTCGTGGAGAGGATAAGGAATTCCATGCGTCTCAGTCTATTCCCCACTTTGGCGCTCTACCTACTCGAGAGGCATTTATTCCTTATCTGAAGTGGATGATTACAAACTATTTTTAGTGCTGTAATCTCCGCAAGTGTGCTTCTGTTTCAGGCTCTGTGTCATTCCAACGTGTATAACCTGGAATTGACAATTACTCTGTCAGTCAATCCTAAACTCTAAAACATTTTGCATTTCCAGGTTTCGCTCCACCATCAAAATGCCTGATCATCCGTGAGTATAATTAACTTTTTGAGCTTGTAAAATATTGCAAAAAATTCTTTAGGGGAAAAAANTCAAATTGCTATTGACCATCATAAATTCATTATGCTGTTTTGTGCATTTTTCTCCAACATTATTCCTACAGTTCAGAGGTAAGGAAATTACTTTCATAATATTTGCATCTCTTTACGCTTTGATTGCACGCACTTTAGCTGCTTGTTAGTGTGTATAAGGGATACCTCACTCTGAGAGCCTGGTGCAGACCCGATGGGCTGAATGGCCTCCTTCTGGTCTGTACATTCTATGAAATGTCCAATGGAAATAGGCCACAACCAAGGTGAGGCTGTAATTTTACACAAATATTACAAACCTGGGAGGAAATTAATGCTTTCTAACCAACACTAACTGGAGAATGTGAGGGTATGCAATGCTCGCTCGTGCATTAGCTCTTAAAAACCTAGTAGTAATGAGTTGCCTTTGTAACTTGCTGATTTTGTAGAATTGAGTGTTTATTCAGCAGCTGTAACAGAAGGAAGGAAACAAGTGAGGCGTTATACTGTGACCATGTGCATCACTGCTGAAATCTAACATGAGGCTTAAGTTAGGCTGCAAATGCATGTCGTTTTCAGTTATTGGTAGATTGTGTGTCCTCATATTGTAATGATTACATACTCGGGAAATTGGGTGTGGGGAAAAGGATTAAAAGATCAGACATAAATCTAATAAACTGGTGGGACAGAGTCAATGGGCTCCTCCTATTGCAACATTCATGTGTAGTCTAGACCCACTCTAGGCATGCGTGAAATCTTCAGAGCCGATTAGGAAGTAAAGCGTGTTGCTGGGCATTTTTTGGTAATAAGCACTCCGAAGCTGTCATTTTGCCTGATGTACAAGGGCTAGTTTATGGGTTAGTTTCCGGCGTCTAATGCCAAGACATACTTTGAACTATTTTCAATATCCAGTATTATCCTGAATGTGTGATAAGCCTCCGGTTGCAACTTTATTGTTTAGACCTTTTTGAATTGCATAATACATCATAGATGATTTATTCACCCACCCCCACACACATAGATAGATATGCACACGCACATGCACCCACTCCCACCCACCCATCCTTTCACACACAGTCGCACACATACACTCTCCCACATGTACACACACAGACACACACACTTATGCACACACACTCACTCACAGCTACTTTGTACAGAAATGCACAATTCCATGTGCCTCACTCAGAATATCATAAAGTATCATGCCCGTCCCTGATTGCACAAATACACTGCGCCGGTAGAAAAACAACGGCAACAACTTGCATTTATATAGCACCCTTCACGTAGGCCAGTGCTTGTTACGACTTGACTATCAGTTTGCTGCTGTTGCACAAACTTCTCTTTTGAAGCAAGGCCAAAATGAAACACAAAACCTTGATGTTTTCACGCGTGAGTTTTGTACAGAAAATACTAATAAAAAACTTGCATTGGATCCAGCAGCTTTCATGTCAGGAGGACATCTCAAAACACTTCACAAGATCGACCGCAAATTGTGTATTTTGTAGGCAAACGTTGCAGCCAATTTGCGTACAACAGTGCTCCATAAACAGTTACAAAGTGGGTCCACCGGAACAGACACAGACTGGAAACTGTTGAAGGTTTTTTCAGGAAGTTTGATCCAGGATGTGGAAGCAATAGAATGAGCGACAGACGTAACTTTCTGTTTCAATTTTTTTTAGAGAAAATCGAAGATCACAGCTTCCCGCAAGCTCATGCTTAAGGTAATCCGGTGCAAATTACAATTTACTTCATTTACCTTTAAATTCGTGCAAAATTGAGGAAAATTCTTAAATTGCATCTTAATTTGGAGGTCGGTTGTCTGATGAACTCGTCTTAAAAATTGACTTTCAAGTTAGGAATAAATTGAAGACTTTTCCAAAAGTTCTGAAATCCTAATGGTTCATTCATTGTCACTCTTGATCCTAAGACCATGAGGAATTTCAGGCTAATGGGTGCCTTAATGTAACATTGGAGAATACCTTCAGCAAAGTGTCCATTGAGAGAGCTCACCAGAAGATCATGAAAGAGAGGTTTGAATGAAAAGGATTTGAGCTCATCCCTCTAGAAGACTGCACCTCCCATCCGTTCTTCTAAGCCTCTAGTTGTTGCTTGACTTCTTCTAATAATAATATTATTATTATTATTATCCGTTCTTCTAAGCCTCTAGTTGTTGCTTGACTTCTTATCAAACAAGAATTCCAATGGACCTGTGGTTTGCTTTGCAGAGCTTGATGCTCGCTAACGCACAAGAACAACTAGCTCAAGAAACAGAGGAAAAGGAAGAAGAGAAGCAAAGGGTTCTGGAAGAGCGCATGACCCCGTTGAGAATAACTGGCCTCTCCTTCAGCCAGCTCCAGGTACTGCTTGTCGAAGTCAGAACAGTCGGTTGGTTTCACTCTCATCAGAATTGCACATTCTGCTTTGCGTTCGGTTGCATCATTGAAATCGCCGAGTTTCTGCCTTCAACCAATAACTTGCGTTTATACAGCACCCCTCATGCAGGGCAGCTTCCCAGAACGCCCGACAATCGCACCAAGCAGTAGATCACCCGCCCTGGCTTCCCGTGGAGGTGTTTTTCTGGACAGCTGGCTGGCAAAATGGTTGACTTCTGAGTCATCAGGTTGCGACCGATGTCACTTTCTGCGCGCATGTGCAGCGACAGCCAGGAAGTACTGACCGGCCATTGCGTCCTCTTGTAAGGCTGATCAGAATTTTATGACTTCCACCACCCCCCTGCCCCCACCCCACCACCCTCCGCAACCTTTCTCCCAACAAACACAAATACAACCTTAAAACAGGTTTCTGCCTCATCGCATCGCAAAACAAAACTGATTTTGTTCTCTTTAAAACCTAAGGAACTGTGCCGGGAACTTCATGAGAAAATCGACATTGTGGACGAGGAGAGATATGATATTGAAGCCAAAGTGACACACAATAAGAGGGAGGTCTGTGTTCATTCACGCTAAATAAGATTGAAATCAAGCGACAGAAAAAATTGTAAAAAAAACAATGACAACTTGCATTTCTCGAGAGTCATAGAATTATACAGCACAGAAGGAGGCCATTCGGCCCATCATGTCTGTGCCGGCTCTTTGAAAAGAGCTATCCAAATCAATCCCACTTCCCCGCTCTCTCCCCACAGCCCTACAAACTTGTCTTCCCCAAATAATTACCTGCTTCTCTCTTAAAAGTTATCGAATTTATGTAATAACAATAATAATCCTTGCATTTGACATAGTGCCTTATCGCGTATCCGAGACATCTCAAAGCGCTTCACGGAGTATACTGTAACGTGAATTGACTGTATATTTTATGGGTGAAATTAGTGCCGTTCATGCAGAATAAAATTTCAGAGGGCTTCACAGTAGTGGGGTTGGATTCCGAGCAAGAGAGAAATTAGGAGGGAGAGGTAGGCGTGGTTGGAGAGATGCGAGTCGAAAATGTGGTAAAACGGAGCCTCGAAGTCGGGTGATTTTAAATAACTCAAAATTATTTTTCATTTTTAAGATCCAGGATCTGAACCTGAAAGTGTTTGATCTCAGAGGGAAGTTTAAAAGACCCAATCTGCGTCGAGTGCGTGTCTCTGCTGATGCCATGCTCCGAGCTCTGCTGGGATCGAAACACAAAGTATCCATGGATCTCAGAGCCAACCTGAAGTCTGTCAAAAAGGAGGACTCGGAAAAGGTACAGCCATTTTTCGTCATCAGCACTGAGGGATTCTGTGAACTGGGGCAAAGGCACTTTGTAAGATGACATAAACAGCTCAGCAATTTACAATCGGAAATCCACTGGAAGCTTGCCAGGCAGCGCTCTTAATGGCAAGCGATGCATTTTTAGCTGGTTAAACTCCAGTAGTCACCCCATTGCACACTCTTGCCAACCCTAAATGCCTAATACTCTCTGGATTTAGGTAAGCAGGGTGTGTTCCGCTGAGGAGAAAGTGCTTCATTTCATTCTGGTAACAGGGAAATTTTCATGTTGAGTGGCATGCAGACTCTCAATCTATGATGGGTTTATGTGTGTCTCAGACACCCGGCTCAACAAAAAAAGTACTTCATCGGGCAACAAGGTTCGAAAAGAGGCATCCCTCATTAGCTCTTCTTTTTTTTCCTTCCTCGATCCATATGCCCTGTTGGTTACTGGAACCTAGACCAAACTTGAGGGGTTAATATCATTTAACAATGAGACATGAACTCAAGTCTTCTACTTCTGAATTCACACTTTAATTCTGGAGAAAATTGAGACAAAAATTAATTCTGGAGAAAAAAAGCATAGACATGAACCATAGATTACGCGGATGAAACATTGTGTTCTTTTGTTTTATGGTTATATTAACCATTTGGTTGCCTTGTAATCTGTTTCATTTATCCAAATCATTTTGTCGCCCCATCATAAACTCTGCCCTAACTTTTAGCAAATTATATAATTAATGATATCTTTGTACAAGCCCTGAAATGGGGTCTCGAATGAAAACGGGAAAGCTTCTTTACAGAGAAATATAAATCAGGCAAAATGGGTTGCTTGAGCATAAATAAATGAATAATAATAATTTGGTCACTCAATCTACGACTGTTTGTGGGACACTGCTGTGCGCAATTGGCAGCCACGTTTCGCCCACAAAATACAGTAAATTCACTTTACAGTACATTCTGTGAAGCGCTTTGAGACGTCTTAAAGAAGTGATCAGGCGCTATATCAAATGCGAGGATTATTATTATTATAAACTCAGCCCTTTTGCTGAGGGTTACTTGTATGCGATGAGGCTTACACAGGATCTGCTGACCTGTGCTATTCCAACCTTTAGGAACGTCCGGTTGGAGTTGGTGACTGGCGTAAAAACGTGGAGGCAATGTCTGGAATGGAAGGCAGAAAGAAAATGTTTGATGCTGCCAAAACAGGTTCTGCTCAGTGAGTACAGAGGGTCCATCATTGGGCATGTTTTGAATTCTCCTGGTCGAAAGGAGCAATCTTTCAGTTAATTGGTGTAATACTTGCCAGTTAATTATTTGAGATAAAACTTCAAAGAGACAAAGCAAGGAGAGACATTCCACCCGAGTCCAGATTTAGTTTGGTTATGCATTTATGAGCATCAGAATTTGGGAATTATTTTTAATTCAGTCTTAACATTGATGTTAGTTTTCTGTATGTGTTTAACAAAATTTAAAGAGCTTTGAGAGCATTGTATTATTAGAGGTTTTGTCTTTCAGATGAGATGTTAACCTGAGATACTGTCTGTGTGTTCAGAAGGAAAAGTGGAACATCCAATGGCATTATTCTAAATGAGAAGAGAGTTTCTCTCAGTGTCTTGGCCAACAGTCTCCCAGATAACAGCAAATCTAGTGAAGCAAGGATTATTACTTTGTTATTACAGAAAAATAGCTTTTGAAATGAAGCCTGTAGTTAAGAATTCAGGTACACACTGAACTGTGCTTATCTTTCAGATGATTTTGTACCAGATTACCTCGAGACGCCCCTACTTTCTTCATCCTTACACGCTTGCGTTTCTGCTTTTGAGGATGATAAGAATTGACAGAAACTCGATTCACAAAGAACAGAAGCCAGTGACGGATATTGATCTCAACCTGAACACGTCGCTGAAATCTACAATCTCCATTTAAGATCACTTAAAGCAAAGCCAAACCCATTTAAGCGTTTTACAGGCCTGTGGATGATGACGTGAATATCCAGGCTCACACTTCGAATCGGTCGATCCGTTTAACTGGCTGACATTTGATAAAGGCAATAAGCTCTCTGCGTTGATCTGCTGATGTTTTTTTTTTGTAGCAGCGTGTGAAATAAATCAGTAAATAGCAATGGGAAGTTCTTGGGAACAGAAGTGGGTTGTGTGATATTTGTGCATGCTGTGTTAAAGAGCGGGCTTCCAAATGTTAAATGGTTGTGTTTTCTCAATTGCCACTTTCGTGTCATTTAAATTCCTTGGATATTGTATGATCCATTTGACCATTTATGTTACCACATTAACAGCCGACAGTGTCCTGTTATTGCCATTATAATACACGCACTCTCCGTGCCATAGATAGTGTGTTGTTAGCAGTATTGTCACATCCCCACATCAAACATTTTATTAATACCAATCTCGGGTGAGCAAAGAAACAAAATGATATCAAAAACTTTCAACTCTAATAAAAATTATAATAACTATAATTTTTGCATTTTGTACAACGCCATGATTAAGAGTATCCAAACCAAGCTGGGAATTCCATGCATCCCACCTACACATTGAAATTCCACAGGTATTTATTGGAGTGGAATGCGCACGTACTCCCTCCCTGGAGGGATGAATCTTGCTTACCAAAGTCCGGAAGGTATGAGGCACAAGTTGGCAAGAACCAAGGCCCAGCTTCTTTTGGGCATCAGAATTCTTCACCTGCCAGCCTTATCTTTGGCCAACGTGACAGCATTCACTTCACTGCTGATGAATTGTATTTGTAAAGTGTTTTGGGATGTTCCTTTTATGTGAAAAGGACTTGTGTAAATACAAGTTATTATGAGCTTAAAGCCAAGATTACAAATACGCGGACATTACAATAGAATAAAATGATGAAATAGAATTTACATTTACACATCACCTTTCATGCTGGGAGGACATCTCAAAACACCTCACATAGCTGGCTGGACACCAAGGCCTGGGGGGGAGTGGTGGGAGATGGAAAGGTGATGAGGATGGCAGGGATGCTGGTGGTGGAAAGGTGACCAAAAGCATGGTCGACGAGGTAATGTCTTATGATATGTTTAGGTGCTACATCACATGAAACTTTCTAGGCTTTCAGCCAATTTATCCAGACTTTCTGAAACTCCATCCTGCAGTCCCTCTGACCCACCTCCTCCCTCACCTCTTTCTTTCAAGGTCCGTCTCGAGACATTTTCTTCTTTGACCGTGCCTTCAGTCATCTTTCCCCTCCCACCCCCTTGACTCCCATCCTCAGCTCGGGCGCCAAGCTGGGACAGCCAAGCACCTCAGGATGTCCTCCTGGTGTTAAAGGCGCGGGGTAAATGTAAATTTGTACTGTTATAAACTCTGCAGAGGTTATCATAGCAAAACAAATACATGGATCTCGGGCAACGATCAAACAGCTTCAATGCGCCATCTGACACAATGATAATAGTGTTGTGTTACTATAATGATTTACTAACAATTCAACACCTCAGCTTCCTGCTTTGTAGCTGGCTGTAAATTATAATACTTGCCACTGCCACAGGAATCTCACCCATGACAGGATCTGCAAAAGTACCCACTGAAGAGAATATGTTCACTGGCTACCAAGTTTAGTAATTTGATGAGAATGGTGGGTGTTCTGGAAGGATGAGATCAAAACAGTCAAAGGACCTTCTTCAACCAAACCAATCTTGTGATTACCCGAATGAGACTAGTTGCATTTATGCTGCACCATTCACCAAGGATAATGTCTCCCACAAGTAGAGGAGTTGGATGGTATTTGAGGGGGAGTGGGAGGAGGGATGGAGGAACTAGCCATAGCGTGTTTGAAGAGGTTGATTTTAAGACAGACAGAGAGGGGTGAGATGGAGGGAGGGAGTTCCCAGAGTTTAATGCATTGGATCTAAAAGCTCAGCCACCAATGGTCATGCACAAAGAATAGGGGACACTACTACTATTAATAATCCTTGCATTTGATATAGCGCCTTATCACGTTGTTGAGAAGTCTCAACAACTTAGGTGATGGGAAAACAGAGTCTGTGGATGAAGAAAGCTCTATCTACTGCAGTAGGAATCTTAACAGTGTTGAAGAATTCTGATTTACATTGATCCATTCCTATCCAATGGCTGACCTTTTGCCACAGATTTCTATTCACCTCGCGGAAAATCGGTGTGATTGTGTGGGCGAAATGTTATTAGAAAATATGGAATATTTTTCTTTGCGTACTTCTACTCCCGTTGGAAGTTTTGCAAAGGAAAAAGTTGAGTGGTTATCAGATCAAGCCCTTACCTGATTAATCTATAATTAAAAACTCTTTCTGCTGGAAGGGGACTTGAGGACACAAGGACGCAAATTCAAGATTGTGACTCGGGAAGTGAAAGGAGAGGTTCGGAAAAAAATTCTCCCAGAGGGTTGTCGGTGCTTGGAATGATTTGCGAGGGTGTGTCAGAGCAGAATAGATTGAGGAAGTGGGGAATTTGAAAGAGAGCTGCACAAACACATAATAATAATAATAATAATAATCCTTGCATTTGATATAGCTCTTTTCACATCTTCTAGACGTCCCAAAGCGCTTCACAGAACACACTGTAAAGTGAATTGACTGTATATTTGTGGGCGAACGCGGCAGCCAATTGCGCACAGCAATGTCCCACAAACAGTCGTAGATTGAAAATGACTAATTTATTATTGTTTTTGGTTTTGGAGGGATTATTATTAGACGTGTGGAGTAAGGAAACTTGCCCAAGGTCTCGCCCTCTGCCTGGAATTGAACTCAGGTCTCTCGCTTGCAAAGCGGGTGCTCTAACCACTGAGCTACAGGACTCACATGCACCTACAAAAGACAAGGTCACTACATTTCAGAGTTAAATCCTGTGATAGGCTTTGAGACATGATGACAATGTGATAAGGTGTGTATCAAATGCAACATTTATTATTACTATTAATTTGCATTTAACTATGAGATACTCAGGTGTCATTTTGCACTGGTCCTGTGTAGCTGGACACTCCTTGTACAGGCATGACAATGTAACCAGCTGTTAAATTTTCCTGGTAATGTTTATCCCTTGACAAAGTATTTCCTTATCATCTACTGAATTTGAATAGAATTGCTCATAGTTCCAACCTTTGACATCTATGGAGGCATTGTTTGAAATATGACAAGAATGGAATGGTTTCCTCATTTCGCAAAAAAAGGCATAATGTGGGTTGGACTAATGTGTTAAGTGTTATTTATGGCCCATTATTATAGTCTATTATGAAGCAACTGAAAGATATATATCAAATCTATTAGTTGTTTCTTTTGAATAACCCTTTTGTTAATAATGATAATAAAATCCTTGCATTTGATATGGCGCCTTTCACGTCAGGAGGATATCTCAAAGTCCTTCACAGGATTTACTGTAAAGAACAGTGAGTGTGTGTTTTGTAGGTGAACACAGCAGCCAACTTGCACACGGCAATGTCCCCAAAACAGCCATGAAGCGAATGTCCAATTTTATTGGAGGATTGTTGGCCAGGACACCGGGAGAGGGAAACTCTGTTCTGTTTTAGAAAAGTGTCGTGGGATATTTAACATCCACCTGAACAGGTACAGACGGGACCTCGGTTTGACATCTCATCTGAAGGACGGCATCTCTGACAAAGTGCAGGCCCCCAGTTCTATGTTGTAGCATCAGCCTGGATTGTGAGTTTTTTTTTAAAAAGTGTCAGTGACTGTGCATCTGTGTTTTCTATTTTACTACCTCCTGTTTTGGAAATTGGACTCGTCCTGACTCTATGTTGCTTGGACCAGATAAGCTTGTTCCTAGCAGGTTACCATTCATCATTCCAATGATATCCTTGAGACATACCTTTATACTTCATGCTTACATACTAACTGCTGGTTGAACAGACAGGCATATCAAACTACGCACAAGGAGATGAGAAGAGTACATAAACTGAGGTGTGGAAAAAGTGTGAGTTTTCATCTAATACTAAAATGCTGTGATTGCTTTCTAGCTGTTTAAAATACCTTAATGTGTTGTTTCAGGTTAAAGAATGACAGCAATGGGAAAACAGATGAAAACAAAGACATATCCAGAATTCAGACAAACGATGGGGTGCCCTATTTTGTCTCTGAAAGGTACTGTGGGATGGAGTTCCAGAGTGTGGGGGCAGAGAGGCTGAAAGCACGGCCACCGATGGTAGGGCGAGTTTGGTAGGGAGTCAGCAGGTCAGAGAGGTAGGAGGGGGCATGGCCATGGATAGTCTTAAAGGTGAGGATGAGGATCTTGAACTCGATCCTCGGGGGGATGGGCAGCCAGTGGAGTCAGGTGAGGGTGGGAGTGATGGGGTCACGGAGCCCGGTGCGTGAGAGTACACAAGCTGCAGAGTTTGGGATGATCTGCAGTTTGTGAAGGGAAGAGTTAGGAAGGCCGATGAGGAGGGACTTTCCATAATCGAGCTTTGATGTGACGAATGTGTGGGTGAGGGTTTCGGCAGCCTGAGGGGTGAGGCAGTGGCGGAGTCTGGTAATGTTGTGGAGGTGGTGGTTGGCAGTGCCGGTCATGGCGCGGATGTGAGGGAGAAAGGACAGTTCAGGGTCAAACAAGACACCCAGGGTCCTGACTGGCTTAGTGAGGTTGAGTGTGCAGCCGTGGAGGCTGAAGCTGCCAGCGCCTGAGGTGCGGAGGCGCTGGCATGAGCCAATCAGGAGGGCTTCGGTCTTGCTGTCGTTCAGTTGGAGAAAGTTGTCTCTCATCCAGGACCTGATGTCGGACAGGCAGTCAGTCAGGATGCCAGTAGTCCTGGAGTTCAGGGTGGAGGCAGAGAGATAGAGTTGGGTGTCATTTGCATAGATGTAGAAATTTGCCCCATGTCTGTGGATGATGTCACCAAGGGGGGAGCATGTAGAGGGTGATGAGGAGGGGAACGAGGACAGAGCCCTGAGGAGCCCTGTGGAGTCCTGTAGCTCAGTGGTTAGAGCACTCGCTTTGCTAGTGAGAGACCGGAGTTCAATTCCAGGCAGAGGGCGAAACCTTGGGCAAGTTTCCTTACTCCACACAGAGCCTAATAATAATCCCTCCAAAAACCCCCCATAATTAAATTGGTCATTTTCAATCTACGACTGTTTGTGGGACACTGCTGTGCGCAATTGGCTGCCGCGTTTCGCC